TCTGTTGACCGGAAGTTGCAGCAATCGCTGTTCATTGATTCGGCCGTTACTTGTGATTAGGTCGCCGCCGCGTTATTCCCCGGCGTCTGTGAAGGTGTGAAGAATAAGACCTTTGTTTGGCTACACGGTTATAGCTACTTCAACCCTGGATAGCCCATGTCAGTCTAACCCGTTTGACCAGGTCCGTTGACCAGACCCGACCCGGTTCCAGATCCGACCCGTTTTCCAGGTTCGGCCAGAATACAGAATCTGTTCCCCCCCCCCCCTTTTTCTTCTCTGTTTTGCTGGATTCAACATGGCATCTAGTTCAGATTTACTTTCACCCACGAACAGTCGTAATTCTCCCATGACTTCAGTTAAACTCAATGGAAAATTACATATTGTGGGCTCAATCTGTTGCCATTTTCCTCAAAGGCAAAGGTCTTGGTTCTCATTTGACTAAAGAGAAACCCAAGGCAACTGATGCCTCCTTTGATGCATGGGAAAAGGAAGATGCTCAGATCATCTCTATGATGATAAACAGTATTGAACCCCAAATTAGTTCAACTCTACTTTATTTGGATACTGTCAAGGAGATATGGGACAGATTATAGCAATTGTATTTCGGGACAGGTAATATCACTCGTGTCTGTAAGCAGTACTTCAATCTTGAACAAGGTACTCAAAGTATAAAAGAGTATTATTCCAAAGTTATGGGAGTCTGTGAAGAGCTGAATATGTATCAGTCCATTACAAGTGATATTCGCAATATGCAACAACAGCGTGCGGACTTTAATGTTGTCTGTTTTTTTACTGGTTTATCATTAGCATATGGGCATTTTCGTGCACAGATTATGAGCAGTCCAACATTTCCATCTCTTGCTGAGGTGTTTTCTAGACTTCAGCGTGCTACACTTGCAAGTGATACCTCAAATTTGAATATTGGACAGAGTGGTGAGCGTTTAGCATTAGTGGTTTCAAAGGGTGAACATAATACTTACCGTGGAGGTCGTGAGGGACACTCCACACATGGTGGTCGTGATTCACGTGGAGGACGTGGCCGTGGCAGGGAATCCAGAAAGTGTACCCATTGTGGTCTTTCAAATCATACTGTGAACTTTTGTTGGGATCTTCATGGGAAACCATCTAGTTATGCCAATCAAGTTTCCTCTTCTCCAAATGATGTTGCTTCTGGATCGCACAACGTAGCTGAATCAGATACAGTTCCTGTTCCACGGGACAAGTATACTCAGTTTTTGTCTTATAAGCAAGCATCTAATTCATCTTCCACGGCTACTTTTGCCCAGTCAGGTACTGCACACACATGTCTATTGTCTTCCACTCGCAGTCCTTAGATCATAGACATTGGAGCATCTGATCATATGACCGGATGTTCTTCTCTTCTATCTGATTTTCATTCTGTACATCCTTTTCAAAGTGTTACTCTTGCTAATGGTTCATCCACTCTGGTTTCAGATTTGGGGACAACTCAACTTAGTGATTCATTGTCTCTCTTGTCTGTTTTACATGTTCCGCAGTTTCCCTTTAATTTAATATCTATCAGTAAGCTTACTAAATCTCTCCAGTGCTCTGTTACATTTGATCCTACTTCTTGTGTGTTTCAGGATCTCAAGACGATTGGTACGGGGCATGAAGCTGGTGGCTTATATTATTTTGATTTTGAACCTTCTCCTGTGGCTCTTCAGTCTTCTCTGTCTCCATTCCAGTGGCACTGTCACCTTGGTCACCCGTCACTTCAAGTTTTGAAGCGTCAAGTTCCTATCGTCTTAGTCATTTGAAATTCTTGTCATTTGAAGTTTGTCAACTTAGTAAGCACCATCGCGTGTCTTTCAAGTCTAGGGTTAATAATCGTGTCTCTAGTCCTTTTCATTTAGTTCATTCAGATGTATGGGGTCCAATAAAACATTCTTCAATCAATAAATTTCATTATTTTGTGACATTTGTGGATGATTATTCTCGCCTGACTTAGTTGTTTTTAATGAAGATCGTTTTGAGTTATTTTTAATTTTTCAAAAATTTCGCAAAGAAATCAAAACTCAGTTTGGATGTCCAATTCGTATTCTACGTTCTGATAATGCTAAGGAATATTCTTCAACTCCATTTGATACATATCTTAGTGATAAAGGAATTATTCATTAAAATTCACGTGTTTATACTCCACAACAAAATGGACTTGCAAAACGTAAGAATCGACATCTCGTAGAAGTAACTCGTGCTCTTTTGTTTCATATGCGTATGCCTAAACGGTTTTGGGGTGATGTTGTTCTTACTGCCTGTCATCTTATTAACCGTATGCCGTCATCTGTGTTAGATGGCAAATCTCCACATTCTATTTTATTTCCTGATCTCCCTTGTTTTCTCTTCCTCCTAGGGTTTTTGGATGTGTATGTTATGTCCATAATCTTGGTCTTGGTTTTGATAAATTAGACCCACGTGCCACAAAGTGTGTATTTCTTGGCTACTCTCGCTCTCATAAAGGTTATTGTTGCTATAGTCCTGTTTCTCAACGGTACTTTATTAGCGCAGATGTAACGTTTTCTAAGTCCATCCCATATTTTTCAGATACTGATTCACTTCTTGATATCACTCTTGAGTCGCCTCCTTCTGCCGTTCCTCTTCCCTCACTCTTTCTTCAACCTCGATCTCTTGTTCTTTCATCTGCCCCGTTATAGGTGTACACTCGAAGACCAAAGCCATCTATTGTCGTGCCTACTCCATCGTCTTCAGAGTCTTTGGATCCGGCGCCTTACACTGTGTCTGATTCCTTGCCTATTGCACTTCGTAAAGCTCCTCGCTCATGTGTTACTAACCATCCCATTGCTCATTATGTCTCTTATAATTCCTTATCGCCATCATTCTCCTATTTTTCCTCTAAGTTGTCTACTACATTCGTTCCTAAGACTGTGCAGGATGCGTTGTCTGATTTGGGCTGGAGGAAAGCAGTGCAAGATGAAATGGATGCTTTACATAAGAATGGCACGTGGGATCTTGTTCCATTACCTCCGGATGTCAAACCCGTTGGTTGTCGCTGGGTCTATACTGTGAAGTATCTTCCAGATGGGTCTGTTGAGCGTTTAAAAACACGTCTTGTTGCCAAAGGTTATACCCAAACTTATGGTATTGACTATGACGAGACATTTTCTCCCGTTGCTAAGATTTCTTCTATTCGTGTTTTGATTTCTCTTGCTGCTAATAGACATTGGCCTCTGTTTCAGTTAGACGTTAAAAATGCCTTTTTGCATGGTGACTTAGCAGAAGAGGTTTATATGGAGCAACCACCTGGGTTTGTTGCTCAGGGGGAGTATCTTCACACTGTTTGTCGCCTTAAAAAGGCTCTGTATGGATTGAAACAATCTCCACGGGCTTGGTTTGGAAAATTCTCTGAGGTGGTGTTAAAATTTGGTCTTAAGAGATGTCAGACCGACCATTCGGTGTTTCATCAGTGCACTAAAGCCGGCTTCATATTTCTTGTGGTGTATGTAGATGATATTGTGATCACGGGTGATGATTCTGAAGGCATTGCTAAGTTGAAGTTGTTTCTGCAATATCAATTCCACACTAAAGACTTGGGTAAACTTAGGTATTTCTTGGGCATTGAAGTTGCTAGATCTAAGAAAGGTATAAGTTTATCCCAACGCAAATATGTGTTGGATTTATTAGAAGAAACAGGTATGTTGGGTGGTTGTCCGGTTGATACTCCTATGAATTCAAATACAAAACTTGTATCTGACGAGGGTGATCTATTTAATGACCCGAGCAGGTTTCGTCGCCTTGTTGGGAAATTAATTTATCTCACTATCACTTGACCTGATATTTCATATGCAGTCGGTGTTGTAAGTCAGTTCATGGGAGTTCCTATAATGCCATATTGGATTGCTGTTCTTCGGATTATACGATATCTCAAGAAAGCTCCAGGTTTAGGGTTACTATATAAATCAAATGGTCATCTCAGGGTAGAAGGTTTTATAGATGCTGACTGGACTGGTTCTCCTTCAGATAGGAGATCTACTACAGGCTATTGCACATTTGTAGGAGGAAATCTTGTTACATGGCGAAGTAAAAAGCAGACAGTGGTAGCTTGATCTAGTGCTGAAGCTGAATATAGGGCAATGACCCATACCACTAGTGAGTTGACATGGATACAACATTTTTTAAAAGAACTTGGGTTGATAGTTGAGGCTCCTACTCCATTGTTCTGTGATAATCAAGCAGCAGTTCACATTGCATCAAATCCTGTGTTTCATGAGAGGACCAAAAATATTGAAGTTGATTGTCACTTCATTCGAGAAAAAATATTAAGTGGAAACATCTCTACTCCATTTGTGAAGTCTGAAGATCAATTAGCTGATATGTTTACCAAAGCATTGGGTACCGGTTAAGAACTATCTGTTCTAAGCTGGGATTATTTGATATATATTCTCCAACTTGAGGAGGAGTGTTAGAATGTTATATATATATATATAAGTGTTGGGCCATTATGTAATTACAGAAAGTTGATAGGGGCCCTTGTGTAGTTAAGTAAGACTTGTACTCTTTATATAAGCCTTGTACACTTTATTAGGTTTGAGGATGATGAATATATACAAGTCTGAAACTTCTCTCTCTCTCTCTCTCTCTCATATATATAACTTTGAACAATACATAACTAAACTTTTTGTCTTTTATCCTTGCTTTTCATTTCAAAACAAGGGTCGTGCCATATTTGCCAATGGAAGTCCATTTGATCCTGTAGAATACAATGGTAAAGTTTTTGTTCCTGGCCAGGTTGTTGAACATTTATTTAATTTTATTATGTCATAGTCTCCAACTCATATGGGCTGGATGTGGGTGTGATAACTCTGATTTTTTTTAATTTATGATTTTATTATTATTTATAATTTTAATATTTTTAGTTCAGTTCAGTGGAGTGTAGTAATAGTTATTTATATATATATATATATATATATATATATATATATATATATATATATAGTATCTTATCTAATGATGAAGGTGGGAGGCAGTTGGCCGAAGAGAGAAATGAGAATGGAAATGTGATGGTGATGATGGCTTTTGCGGGGCCCACAGGAATTAATGTAATGGATTTTGATTTTTGTCACATGTGTGTGTATATATATTATATATGTATATATTTATTACATCTGACGAAGGAAAGTGGGCAGCAAGGCAAAACGTGGAGAGGAAGAAAAATTGTAATGATGTAGTGTGGGTCCCACGGGTTGATTTTTTGGTCAAAAATTGCTTGGGCGTTGGTTTTGTTCACGTGGGTGGTAGACAGTGTGAACAAGGAAAATAGTGGGGGTTCACATGGGTGTGTCTGTGAATTTGCCTATTTATGGAGTGTAGTGTCTGCATTGTGAAGCAAACAAAGAACATGAGAGATAAAGAAAGAGAGCAGAGAGAGTTTGAGAAAAAAAATGAGAGAGTGAGAGAGAAACAGAGTGAGAGAATGAACGGCAGACAGAGGAGCCGAGAGTTGCAGAGGAGGCTGGAGCTTAAGGCTTGATGATTTTCAGTGTAAGGTTCTCTATACCTTGAATGGCATGGGGAGGTTTTGATTAAATATTTTATGAAATGTTTTGATTAAATATATATTTATTTTGTTTATACTCACCTATATATGTTTATTTTGTGAAGCCGTTTTGTTAAACCTCCATGAAATTCTTGTTATGGTTTTTTCTACTGGGACTTTTGTCTCACCACCCTCTAGTTTCAGGTACCGAAGATGGACGGGGATCGTAGAGACGGGCTTAGGATGAAGAGTTGCCGTTGTAGGATTTATTTTATTTATTTGGAGAATTTTTTGTATATTTGAGGAAATTGATTTTGTATAAAAAGAGGGCAATATTTGTGATCCTGGATGTATTTTGATGTATTGAGTTGAATACATAGGGGATTTTATTGGAATTGTCGGGGCGTGACAAAATGGTATCAGAGCTGTACCCAGCCGGAAGTGTGAGTATAGTGATGATGTAGACGGGTGTGAATGGGCGAGTGTGTAGTACTGGTGAGCTACCACTCGTAGCCGGGTGTGTGTGGGCGGATAGCGTTCACCGGCAGCTACTGAGATGGTTGGTTGGTGTGGTTGGGCAGGTAGCCCAGATTTGTTATTGTTTGTTTTTTTTTGTGGGTGGGCGGGTGACGCATCGACTAGCTACTACAACGGTTACGGAGTGTGTGGGCGGGTGACTAGCACTGTCAGCTACCACAACGTCCTACATATCATTATATCTCACATCGCCTGGGGTAAGGATTTGGATTTTGGTTTTGTGGTTGTTGGTGTTTTCGGGTATACGAAGGCTGTTAGATCTGAATTTCGAGGACGAAATTCTTTTTAAGTGGTGGAGATTGTGATAACTCTGATTTTTTTTTAATTTATGATTTTATTATTATTTATAATTTTAATATTTTTAGTTCAGTTCAGTGGAGTGTCATAATAGTTATTTTTTTATAGTTTATATATATATATATATATATATATATATATATATATATATATATATCTTATCTAATGATGAAGGTGGGAGGCAGTTGGCCAAAGAGAGAAATGAGAATAGAAATGTGATGGTGATGATGGCTTTTGCGGGGCCCACAGGAATTAATGTAATGGATTTTGATTTTTGTCACATGTGTGTGTATATATATTATATATGTATATATTTATTACATCTGACGAAGGAAAGTGGGCAGCAAGGCAAAACGTGGAGAGGAAGAAAAATTGTAATGATGTAGTGCGAGTCCCACGGGTTGATTTTTTGGTCAAAAATTGCTTGGGCGTTGGTTCTGTTCACGTGGGTGGTAGACAGTGTGAACAAGGAAAATAGTGGGGGTTCACATGGGTGTGTCTGTGAATTTGCCTATTTATGGAGTGTAGTGTCTGCATTGTGAAGCAAACAAAGAACATGAGAGATAAATAAAGAGAGCAGAGAGAGTTTGAGAAAAAAATGAGAGAGTGAGAGAGAAACAGAGTGAGAGAATGGATAGTAGACAGAGGAGCCGAGAGTTGCAGAGGAGGCCGGAGCTTGAGGCTTGATGATTTTCAGTGTAGGGTTCTCTATACCTTGAATGGCATGGGGAGGTTTTGATTAAATGTTTTATGAAATGTTTTGATTAAATGTATATTTATTTTGTTTATACTTGTAACGACCTGAAAAGATACCAAAATAATAATAAAAATCTATAAAAATTTTGGCATGACCTCCGCAGAAAATGTCCCTCAACAACCTGTTGAAATACAAAAAATAAATGCAATGGCCTCACTGGGCCTTAAATCTAACTTATCATGTCCCAACGCACAATTCAGATATTATACTACATTTCCAAAATGGTTACATACATACAAAAGTCCCGTTCCTCCATCTCATCTAAACATGGAACCCATTTAAGTTACATCAAATTACAGTCCATAAAATGTAACTAGAATTAAAAGTCCATACCTTACAACATTATACTAATTAAACTAAAGTGTCACAAGGTAGTTAATATTACATTTACAAAATACTAGAGTCTAATACAAAAAATAACAAAATAGAATGGGTCTTCAAGCTCATCTAAACCTGTGGCGGACCGTCGTCCGCCACCTATTTTCCATATCCTGGAAAAAAATGTTAAAAATAAGGGGGTGAACATAAACTCAGTAGGAAGTGTCTAAGACACACTTCTTATGTCCCCGTGAATCCATACAATGAATAGATAAAAAGTGAACGGGATCATACCATCGGAAAACACACATTCTCAACCACAGTAACAAATATATAACAAATATCAACCAATCACAAATTTACCATGATGTCATGAAGTGCAATGTTATGCAAATGTCACTCCCCATTTCCGAAACAATTCCGTTTCAACAACCAAACCGTTAGTGTAGTCCGACCCAAGGCACATCCATAGCGTCACGAAAGGAAGATTGGTTAACTATCCACGACCACAAGGCACCTCCAAGGCGTCGCATCCGGCCTAGTTAACTCAACTACATTCCCTTCTAGACTACACCAACATCACGGACCACTAGGCGCCTCCTAGGCGTCCGGTTTTCGCAACACTTTTAGAAAATCTTTTCCCCAAAACAATTTTATTTGTTCTAACAATTATTTTTCCCCCTTTCTCTTTCTCAATGGATGTCTGAATACTTTATGCTTCAAATCATTAATTTAACTATATGTTTTCACACATTTTCGTTTACATCATCATCACAATTTAATAAAAATTTCTAAACTTTCATTTCTTTTATTTATTTATTTATAACCATAGCACCCATTTTTCTTCAAGACAATAAATAAATAACTAATCATGGAACATACAACAAATCAAACACTAAGCATGCTCATTTACCGTAATGAAAATAGACATGTATATAAACTCAAATAACACATAGAATACAATTATCATTGTAATTACACATAACTATAATAACAACAAACTAAGTAATTAAAATTTAGCTTGCTTAGGATCAAATTTAAGGGGAAAAATTCACCAAAGGCCAAGAAATTGTAGATTAAAATACCCCTACCTCAAATTGATGAAAACCCCCAATTTGAGCCCAAAAGCCCTAGAATTTCGAACTCTCTAGAGTGCACCAAAACTGAAATTGTTGGTACTCACACGTAGAGCTTGCCGTGCTCTTCGATTTGCTACAAATAGCACCCAAAAATTCCAAGTATGGGAGGAGGAATCAAAGCTTGAAATTGGAAAAGAAAAAACAAAGAAAAGAAAGGGAAGCTTCTGGACAGAGACGCAGAGAGAGAGAGAAATTGGTCTGTGAAATGGCCTTATGCCCTTTGTGGTGTTTTTAATACATTAGTGGGGCCCACTTGCTTTTTTTTTTTAAAAAAAAAAAAAACTTTATAACTTTAATATATATATATATATATATATTTCTTCATACCCATTACATTCTCCCTAACTTTAAAAGATTTCGTCCCAAAAATCGGGCCATACTTGAGGGAGAAAACAACTCTGGATACTTGGAGCGAACTTCCTGTTCGAGCTCCCAAGTAACCTCATCAATTCCATGATACTTCCAAAGAACATTTACCAACGGTATCGTCTTTTTCCTCAACACCTTCTGTTGTGTGTCAAGGATCTGAATTGGTCCCTCCTCGTAGGAAACATCCTCATCATTGTCCACATCAACCCAACTCAAAATGTGAGACGGATCTGGCTCGTACTTCCGTAGCATCGACGCATGAAAGACATTATGAACCCTGTCCATCTGTGGTGGCAATGCTAGTCTGTATGCAACCTCTCCTACGCGGTCCAAGATCTCAAAAGGTCCAATAAATCGTGACGACAACTTGCCACTCTTCCCGAACCACATCAACCCCTTCCTTGGAGAAACCCGAAGAAAAACATGGTCTCCCATCTCAAAGGATAGCGGTCGTCTCCGCCTATCTGCATAACTCTTCTGTCGCCTCTGAGCTGTAAGAAATCTCTGTCTGATCAGCTTAATCTTCTCGGTAGTCTCGAGTACAATGTCGAGTCTTAAGGCGGCTATCTCTCCCACCTCAGTCCAACAGACAGGAAACCTACAAGGTCTACCATACAACGCCTCAAATGGAGCCATCTGAATACTCGCCTAACTGTTGTTGTAGGCAAACTCAATAAGTGGAAGGTGATCCTCCCAACTACCACCCAAGTCAAGTACACAGGCTCGAAGCATATCCTCCAAGATCTGGATGGTACGCTCCGACTGGCCGTCCGTCTGTGGATGAAATGCAGTACTAAGGTGCAACGCTGAGCCAAACGCTGCTTGAAGTCCTTCCCAGAACTTCGAGGTGAACTTAGCATCCCTATCCGACACAATAGCCACTGGAACTCCGTGCAATCTCATAATCTCTTTCACATAAAGTACACCAAGTGCCTCTGCGTCATCTATTGCCTTAATAGGCAAGAAGTGAGCCGTCCTGGTCAATCTATCGATAATGACCCATATGGCTTCATTTCCCCTCCGTGACCTAGGAAGACCTGTCACAAAATCCATTGCAATCTCCTCCCATTTCCACTGCGCTACCGGCAACGGCTGCAATAAACCAACGGGTCTCTGGTGCTCGGCCTTCACCTGCTGACAGGTAAGGCACTAAGCTACAAACTGTGCAACATCCTTCTTCATTCCATTCCACCAATACTGACGTCTCAGATTGTGATACATTTTGGTACCACCCGGATGAACTGTAAAGCGAGAAGTATGAAACTCCCGTAAGACGTCCTCACGACAAACTGTAGGACCAAACAACAAACCCTTAAACTGTAGACCTCCATCAGCATGTAAGGTCCAATCCTTCACAGTCTCGCCACTGGAGATCAAAGTGTAAATGGCATCCAAATCTGAATCCTATCTCTGTGACTCAATCACCAGTCTAACAAGAGTGGGTTGAGCCACGAGATTAAACAGGAATGCTGACTCACTACCATCATCATCCTCAAAGCAATACAATCCCATTTCAGCCAAATCTTCCAACATCTTCCATTTTCGAATAGCTAAACTAGCCAAAGTCCCACGAGATTTCTGGCTTAAAGCATCAGCTACCACATTTGCCTTGCCAGGATGATACTGCAAATCAAATTTGTAGTCTTCTAAGAATTTAACCCATCACCTCTGTCTATTATTCAAGTCCTTTTGGGAGAAAAGGTACTTGAGGCTCTTGTGGTCCAAGAACACCTCAAATCTCTCACCATACAAATAGTGTCTCCAACACTTCAAAGCAAATACAACTGCCGCTAACTCTAAGTCATGAGTAGGGTAGTTAAGCTTGTGAGTCTTCAACTGTCGAGACCTACAAGCCACTACTCTATCATTTTGCATCAGTACACAACCCAAACCATCACGTGAGGCGTCACAATAGATCACATAACCCAAACCACGCTCAGGTATCACCAACACCGGAGCCGCAGTCAACCTTGTTTTCAACTCTTGAAAAGATGACCCGCAGGCCTCATTCCATGCAAACTTGATCCCTTTCCTGGTCAATCTGGTCATAGGAGCTACCAAACGGGAAAAATCCTCCACAAATCTCCGATAATAACCCATTAGGCCAAGGAAACTCCGGATCTCAAAGACATTCTTGGGTTGTTCCCAACTCAAAACTGCCTCTATTTTTGAAGGATCAACTAAAACCCCACCTTCCGAGACAACATGTCCCAAAAATTTCACCTCTTGTAGCCAAAACTCACACTTTTCAAACTTGGCGTACAAACGGTGCTCCCGTAGAATCTGCAACACTATACCTAAATAGACCTCGTGCTCTTCCCGAGTCCGTGAATACACAAGAATATCATCCACAAAAACTACCACAAACTGATCCAAGTAATCGTGGAAGACACGGTTCATTAAATCCATGAATGCCACCGGCGCATTGGTTAAACCAAAAGGCATAACAAGAAACTCGTAATGTCCATACCGCGTACGGAACGTGGTCTTTGGAATATCCTCCTCTCTAACCCGTAACTGATAATAGCCTGACCTCAAGTCAATTTTCGAAAAACAACTGGCTCCCCTCAACTGATCAAATAAATCATCTATCCTTGGTAAATGATACTTGTTTTTTATGGTGGCATGATTCAACTTTCGGTAATCAATGCACAACCTCAAAGAACCATCTTTCTTCTTAGCGAACAAGACCGGTGCACCCCACGGTGACACACTCGGTCGTATAAAGCCTTTCACTCTTAAATCATCAAGTTGTTTTTTCAATTCTTCTAATTCAATTGGTGCCGTACGATACGATGCCATAGAGATTGGCGCGGTACCAGGCATCAAATCAATAGCAAATTCCACCTCTCGGTGTGGAGGCAACTCAGTCAAGTCCTCTAGAAACACATCTAGAAAGTCACGCACAACCGCTGGATAATCAACCCTGTAAAACTCAACGTCATCATCGGCGAGAAGACTAGCCAAGAAGAATGTCTGCCGATCTCGACCCCTAACACCATAAAATGAATGAGTGAGAGGATCACACCGATCTCCTACAAAACAGAAACAATCCCCATCCGGGGTACACACTGAAACTCTGCCCCTGAAACAATCAATGACAGCTCTGAAGGAT